CTTGCTCTTATCGGCAATGCTATTCTGCACCTACTGGCGGGACTTCGGAGTGAGCCCCAAGGTACAACGGTACGAGGGTGTTCCGTAGCACGTTCGATGAGTGCTCCACTATCACCTAATAGGCAATGCACACGCCGATGGGCAAACATGGTCTAGGATAGCTATTACGATAGGACACAATCGGAGTACAAAGTATCACTGATTTCCGTTCAAATACTTAAACATTTTGACCGAAAATAGTCTATAAACATACCCTGCATACAAAAAGACATTTTCAGAAATAGAGCGCACAAATAAGCAAGATGTGCAGCCTTTTGGTTGCCGGTAATTGACCACCTTAATTTTCCTCATCATGTCTCATGAGATAGGGCACATATTGTATGTATGTCTGTGTCTACTTCAAGGTCCGTCTGAATGAAAACAATAGAGCAAATCATCGCGAAAACTCCCCTATAGAAAGGTATCAGGCCCTTGTGGCGGCAATTCGACCGCATATTTCGACCACAGACTGAGAGTGCCGATCGACCTAACCGTCCGAAGACCCTCTGCCACAGTTTGGTATCTGAAGAAGATCCGGAAGTCGTGGTTCTAAAGCCGCTTACCTTGCAAATGATCCTGCAACAACAACAACAACCACATCCACCGACCGCGTGCTTCAGTAAGCTGAAGGCAAACGCGGTGATTTACGTGTGGATTAGTTTAAAGTAGTAGTAGACTTGCGTTGAATCTACCACACACTCTCCCTCCCTAACTGGGTACGATGTCATGATTAAGTCAAGAAGACGGTGAGCGAGAGAGGGCGCAGGTGGCTGGCGAGGCCAGAGCCGCCCCACCCGGCGCGCATCCCATGGCAGCAATATTATCATTGTGAGGATGAACCATGTAGATTGTGCGCGCATTCTTATAAAATAGCGTGCGTAATCTAAACGCACACACTCTACGCACGAAACGGGTATGAAGATTCTGCGACAGTTTTTCTCCTAAAAACCACAGATGACATTCCATTTCGAATTATTAGCCATGCCTTAGGAGTTTTTTTCACTGTCTGCTCTTCTTGCCCAATTACACTGCTGGCTCGTGTTAACTGACATCACCACATTTGAGTGTATTACTT